GGCCCGCGCCTTCGAACCGCGCGCCCAACCAGCCCGCTGCGGGCCTGGGCGCTACCACAGCTGCTGCCTGAGCAGGGGGCGCCGGCCGCGCCTTCATTCCCCTCTCGCGAAACAAAAGAGCCGCTTGAAGGGCGGTTGCTGAGATCATTGTTCGAGATGGATGGAAAAAGCGTTACTTTGTTAGCTATTTCTTTCTTTTTTTTTTTTTTTTGCTTATGCCTTGCGGAAAATCCCCCCGCCTTTCTTCCTGGTTAGTTACGCCCAAACCGTCCGCGGTCACAAGACCCAACCCCTGTGTTCCCATCACACTTGACCGGCCAGAAACAGGAACCCGAAAGAGACGGGGAGACCATCGGAATCCAACGGCCCCAGGAGACGGAACACTTTTTGTCCGAGTGGGCGCTAGGCAGGGATGCGAGGGGGAAGATAAATTGAGTGGCGCTACGAGGATCGCACATGGCGGCGGTGAGGGAGAGCAGTCGCGTCCCTTCGCGGGTGGCGGTTCCTGGGGGCTCTCGGCCTCTCCTGGGAGGCGGGAGCTGGGGCTGTGGGTGGTTCCCCCGCTTCGCTCGCGTCCCCCACCCCCCCTCCGCCTTGCTTAGAAAGGTTATATTGCGAAGAGCTGTTTAATCTCGCCGTGCACCCAGTCGTATGCTTCACGGTTTAAAAAAAAAAAAAAAAGCAACCAACCAACCACCCCCCCCAACACCTAAACCCTGGTTACCTGTAGCAGTGCAGTGTTTACTGGCACTGGACCGGCGCAGAGCGTGTAACCTAGTGCGAAGTAAAGGAGCACTCTTCTCAAAAGGTCCTTTGTGGAGGTCTTCTGGCGGAACGATTTGTTCCGAAATTTGGTATTACTGTTGCATTAACGCTTACGATGTGTTAGTGAACTGCTATTATCTTCTTACAGAGAAAGGGCGCGTGCGTTACAGGTGTGACAGCTTGACTTTTCAACATGGAGAAGAAACAAGTTTCACAACGCTTGTATGTTGGAGGGCTTGGCCATACGGTTTCTAAGGCTGAACTGCAAGAAAGATTTGGCAAGTTTGGGCAGGTTTTGGATGCAGAGATTATTACCAGAAAAGACGATCAGGGTAACCGTTTTGCATCATCCTTTAAAAGTGAATTGTTCTTCAGTTTGCTGTGTGAAATGGAATTTTTCTTTCAGAGACACGTTATTTTCAGGAAATAACTTAATTTCCAGTTTTAAAGGAAACACTGATATTATATAGGAATTAACTGAATGTTTATCATTGCGCAGGGAACCCTATGAAAACTTTTGCTTACATCAGTGTCAGCATTTCTGATGCAGATCTCAGAAAGTGTAAGTACTTTTTTTTTTTTTAAGTAATTTATGTTTTTGAGCCAAGTTGCGTTACTGATAATGCACGTAATGTCAAATCAGGATGTGGTCGAGGTAGACCCTGTTTCATTCTGTTGTCATATTCATTCCATTTTTTTTAAGCTGCAATTTTATGGAAGTCGCTTTACTGGAGTTTTCAGTAAGTAGATGTAAGCAGATTAAAAAGATGCCTTGTGACTGAAATAGGTGATTTAGGAGTTTGTTCTAACCCTTTTACGAAAAGGTGTAGGAAATGTGCTTCAAACGCTTTCATCAGGTCCATAAAACATTAGAAGTGACTTGATGTGAGAGAAAGCCCAGAAGGAGAGTTTACGTAAAGCATGCTTCTGTTAAAGCAATTTTACAAATCCCAAAGTAGTTGGATTACAAAACTACTGGCAGGGTTACAAAACCACCTGTGTAATATGTAGCAGCAAAATGGCAGGTGAAGATACCTATACCTGAAGAGACGGATTGGTAATATGCCCTTTTATCTAGGGAATGCTGTCATTAGGAATAGGAAAGCTGTTTGAGAGCGACTCAAAGCTAACGCAGCCCTTGATACTTCCTTAAGTTCTAAGTACAACACTTTTCCCTTTGGCTTTCAGTACTCTTTAACTGTTTTTTTCAAAGTACAGAAGAAGTTAAGTAGAGAAGAGCCTGTCTGACAGTAGTATAGAAACTTCAGGGTACATGTATCTGAATTTTCAGGTTTGTATTTGAACTGAACCATACAAACTTGAATGACCCTCATGAAGTCCGAACTTTAATTTTGGATGTAGACCTTCTTGTGTAAGATTAGGGTATTGGACCTTTCATATACGAACTTAAATCAGGTGAGTAATGGATTATAAGATCATGCTAAAGAAACTTCAAACTATTGAAGAAGGAGGCACAGTGAAGTCTAAGGTGTATTTTTTTTAATGTAGAAAATACTCATTTCCCGTCTCCTTGTTTTACAGGCATGTCAGTTTTAAATAAAACAAAATGGAAAGGGGGGACACTGCAAATTGAGTTGGCCAAAGAAAGCTTTTTGCAGAGGTAAAAATCAATTTTAAAAATGTATGTTGTTGCTAAAGTTACCCTTTTTCTTTTTATCAATTAACATGATGGCTGTGCTTTCATCTGCTACGCTCTTATCCTTTCTAGTTTTTATTGGCATTGGTGGACTGTTGATGCATATTAGATACAACATGTTTTGCATCATTATTCCCTTAAAGGTAGCAGATGTGTTAATTCCGTAACTAGTGAATGGTTACTGGCCTGTGGGAGAGGGTCACTGCCAGCTGTAATTTAGCACACAGGCAGACAGGCAGACCTTTTTTCACATATGATGTACTTCTGGGTACAGGCTCGCCATGGAGAGGGAGGAAGCAAAGCTGCAGAAAGAAAAGCCACAGAGAAATGACAAAGCGTGTCTGTTAGAATCACTGAAAAAGGCTGGAGTTGTAGACTTTCACATGAGAGCGGTACCAGGTACAGAGGTGCCAGACCATAAGGTATGGTGGGGTAGATGTATAGAGAATTAAAACGAAACAAAAACCAGAATCGGGCACCAGTTTGCTACACCTAAATTTATGTCAAATCTGTACGCTTTAAGTAAATAAACTTTTATTAAGTGTGACGGTCCAACTTGTGAAAAGTAGTCTAAAGAGATACCTTATGCGTGGACATGTAGAATGCTCCTGTCGTTCTTTGTAACGATTGGAAATAATCTTGATCATACTGTCCTCTCTTGTTGTGTTAAATTAGTAAATGCTTTGTTACTCGTTTATGTTGGGAATATCTTCGTGTCACCCTTAAAAGCATGTAAAGGGAACGTGTGTCTTATTTTTATACAGCATAGACATCTTTGACGGCTGGGTTGTCGGGAACTAATCTCTGTGCTTCGGCACATTCGGGATCAGGGTCTACACGTGCTTACAAAAGTAAGACAGAATAAAAGCACTGAACATGCAAATTTAGGCAACAAAAATTATATTTACTATGAAGTTTTCAAAATTATTTGCTAAGCACAGAATGTTTTTGGAGGGTGATGGGGGGGGATTTTTAATTTTTCAGTGGGAAAGGGGAAAAGGGCAAAATAATAGTGATCCTGTCTGTATAGTTACCGCTGTTAATTCATAAACCAGAAGCCTTATATTAAAAATAGTACTTGTAAAGAAATTCAGTTCTTTATTGTCACTCTTACTTGCAGGTTGTAGAAATTTGGTTTGTTGGTTGGTTTTGGTTTGTTCTTTTTTTGAGAAGGAAGCTGGCTAAGTTGCACAGTAAAGAAAGTAAACAAAAAAAGAATTAGTCACAGATAGTTCTTTATTAGGGTTTCTGTTCTCAAAGTATATACATCTTGGTTTATTCCAGGGTTACTTCCATTCCTTTTTTGTTTAATGCTGATTATTTCTCTTTTCTTTTAGAAATGGGTTGTTGGTAAATTCGGCAGAGTCTTGCCTATCCTGCACCTTAGGAGTCAACAAAAAAATAAAATATCCTTTTCCTATTGGTTGGGCCTAGGCACAATTCCCTTCTTTCTTTCATCGTATGGGGAAACACTTGCTTAACAGTCTTAATGTTGACTACTATGTCATACTTGATGTACTGAATCCCCTAAGTAAATCTTGCAGTGTGTGATTTTAGTAATTTTTTTAGACAGCAAATCAGTTGCTTGAAGGCTTATGGTCATAACATTAAAAAGGACTCTTCGTTGTCCTTTCATGCAGAATTTAGCCTGTTCATAAAGATTGGAAGTCTGCTTGCTGAAATAATCATGTTGTTTTAATTCCTTAACTCAGACTAACATTGTGAAATATGACCCATCAAAATACTGCCATAACCTTAGAAAGCTGGAGCCGGACTTGACACATGTAGTTCCTATATCCGAGCTTACTTGGCACTTGGAAGGGAGAGATGACAGCATAAACAAGAAGCAGCAAGGAGAGTTCCCTGTAACTAAGAAGCCACCTAAAAAACTGAGGCAACTGGGCAGTGAGGCTCTGAATGGAGCAGTAGTTCACTCTTCTGGGTGCCAGTCACGTTCAAAAAACACAAGCTCATCACAGCTAGATCGAAGATCAAAATCCAAATCCAGTGAGAAGTCTAAATTGCCTCCATCAAGCAGTCTTAATAGTAAAATATCAGGGAGAGGTTTGTTACCGGATAAAAGCAATGTTTCTGGACTTACAGCTCAAAATACTACGAGTGTTTCTGACAGTGACATTGATTCTGAAGAGGAAATCAGAGCAATGCTAAAGAAAGAGATAGAAATACAGAAAGCTGAAAATGTTGAGACTGAAAGTGACCACTTGGAAATTGTTGGGGATAATTTTGAATTAAAATACAATAGTCACTGGTCCTTAAGCAATCCAGATGCCATGAAGAAAGCTATCAAAGGAGGTTATAGAGAGAAAGACGCTGTGGAATGTGATAAGGGTTATGATTCAGCTGATACAGATGAAATTATTGCTGAAAGTAAAACTCCAGATCTAAGTAGCAGGAAAACTGCAATTTTAGAAGATTC